GAAGTCAGGAGAGTAGAGATTAGAATGATCAAGGTTAGATTGAAGAAAATTTGCTGAGGCTAAATAATATATATATTTTAAAGACATACTGCTTGGCTTTGAAAATTTCATCTCCAAAAGTAGCTTAGTAAAAAACTGGAGATGCATTTTAATGCAGATTCCTAGGCTTCATTCAAAGCAACTGACTAAAAATCCCTGGAGTTGTGGCCCATGAATCTGAATTTTAAAAGCATTCTAACTGAAATATATTTTAAATTTGGGCTTAAGCTGGTACCTCCAATCCAATCAACCATTATATGTCTACCTATCTCTACTCTCACTGTGAGTGTCCTAGTTCATCCCCCCAAAATTAACATATATACTCCTCTGTTCTATCCTACTATGCACATAAAATAGTTCCAGTATTGCTTCCAACTTTCTAACTTCTTCCTTCCTAACTTCTTTTCTTTTGGGTTACTGGAGGTAAACAATGCCTCTAGTGAAGTACTACTATCAAACACAAATCTGCTAACTTCATTTCTCGATAATTCCTTCTGACCTTAGAATGTCCCGTGAAGGCATATAATCAGAATATTCTGGTCAGCCAGCCACAGAGGCGCACACCTAAAAGCTCAAGAGGAGGCTAAGGCAGGAAGATTGCAAATCAAGACCAGCCTCAGCAACTTAGTGAGGTCCTGTCTCAGAATGAAATTTTAAAAAAAGGTGGGGGGCTAGCAATGTAGTTCAGTGGTAGAACACACCTGGTTCAATCCTAGTACTGAAAAAAGAGAAAAAGAATGCTCTAGTCAAAAGTTTCTTCAATTTTTTTATATCTGATTATGTTATCTGATTATGCTACTAATTTGTTCAGTTTTAGGGTCTCTTTTTCCATCTCTTTTTATTAACATATAAAACATTTAAATAGTTCAAAAGTCAAAATTGTTATTATATTCAAAATCTTATTCCTTTCTCTATTCCTTCCACTTCAGTTGAATCCATTCCCTATATATAATATTTATCACAGTTCTGATTTATATTCCTAAATTTCTTTTACATAACAATGAGCAAGTGTATAATGTATTGTTTCTTCTCTCCTCCAAAGAAAAGTTACACCCCCACACACTACTTTTGTATTTTTTCTTTTAATTACTCCAAACTTCAAAAACTTAATAAGTTAACTTTTCCCAGTTAGGTGAGAAAATTTAAACTCCTTTCCTCCAGTTCAGATTACAGAATCACTCATTATGAAATATTCAAAGAGTTATTTTTAATAATGTAATCTGCCCTACAAAAATGAAACGGAGTTTTAACCAAATATTAAAACTCTTGAGTCCTTTCTAGTGAACATGGAAGTATTTTCTCCTCTAGGTGAACTGACTCTACATTTTTTGAAAGGTGGTGACAGTCACTTTAATCTGTCTCTTACCCTATCTTCAATCAGTATAAACTATCTTCCATTTCCCCTAATCTATCTCCTCCACACCTAAAGAGGAAGTAGTAGGCAGATTATAAGAGTATGAAACTGAGGTCAGACACATTAACGAGAAATATAATCAAACTTTCTATGCTTAATTCCCTAAAATTTAGACCAAGTTATTCAGGTGGCATTCATATATGCATAAGCTTTCAGTATTCTAGCTCATCCTGAAAAGGGTACCCTATAGCCAAGTGTTTCCTATGAGTTCTTTTTTTTTCTTTAAATATTTTTAGCTGCAGGTGGATACAATATTTATTTATTTGTTTATTTATTTATTTAATGTGTGCTGCGAATTGAACCCAGTGCCTCACACATGCTAGGCAAACACTCTACCACTGACCCACAATCCCAGCCCTCCTAAGAATTCTTAAAAATATCCTTCTTCAAACACAGCTCAATTTTCACTTCCCCCAATAGCTTTCTAATAACTGCCCCTTCCTTTTACTCTCACAGCATTTGTTCTTTGTACATTCACTTTAGAGCCTCATCCTACTCCCCATAAACTCTTTTAGTTGTAACCTTCAGTCACATGTAAAATGGATATGTTTATGGCTTACACATAGGTGTGCCCAATTAGTCAACTATTTATAGCACTTACTCCACATTTCTCTTTTAAAGAGCTTTTTATACAGCATCATAATTACATGTGTGTGTGCACGAGCGCACATGTGCATATCTTCTCCATCCAATAAAGTTTATAAACTCCCTTAGCGGCCCTGTGCTAGGCTTCTTAATTCTGCCAAAGCCTTAGAATACTACTTCACAAGAGTACATAGCAAATAAATCCTTTCCAAATTAATGAGTGAAGGATTATAAATTAGCTAGGATTATAAATTAGGGTATTATCTAGATTAGAGATTCCAAATTAGTGGTCCATAGACTCAACACAGACAAGGGACTTATATTTGTACTGCAGAGTACTTAACAAAGAAGGAATTGATTGGGAACATTTGAAAATGGGAAAACCACACACAAAAATACAGATTTATTGTTTTCTTGGGGAGAAGAGAACTGAAATATCTACTTTGTGTCCTAAAGACCACAAGTAACTAGAAAACAGCTGTTCCTTTTACATTAGATATGCACTCTTCAGGTGATAGATTTTTACTTTGTTCATTTATGCCACTTGACTGTTATCTGCAAGCATTTAGGTCAACAACCACTGAAAAAAACCCATGAATCCCTAATGGATGTCTTATTCAAATTTGGGCCATTTCTACTCCCTGGCAATGATGTTTTTCTATCATCAAATGGGTTTATCAAAATCTCATCTTTTCCTTATCCAAAATCTTAAAAAAAAAAAAAAAGAATCTACAGCATCCCTGTGATAAAAACAAAACAGAGTTTAGATTGATGACTTACTTAAATTGATGGCTTGCTTAGATTGATGCCTTGATTCTTAGGTCAAATTTTATCATGTATTTCCTCCACTTAAATATTCTGTTAGAGTGAACTCTATTCAAACGACTACTAACAAATCACTTTTCACACTGAGAGCCAGTGGCAAATTAAATTCAATAAATATTTGTGTAGCTTTTGCAAAATCATAGGTCCTGTGTACTAATTAAAAACATATGCAATGAAATTGTCAAATCTACAAAGTCTGGTACCAAATCTTGTCTCTATCATTCTCTAGCCAAGAACTCTGCAAAGTTACTTAATTTCTCAAAGTCTTTTTAAAAATTTTTCTTATATTCAAAATTTGAACAATAGTAAAGTGAAAAGACAAAGGTTTTGAAGCAGAAAGGCTTATGAGAAACTCCAGAACAGCTATCATTCAGTGGAGACATAAAACCCATAAACCGCTGCCACACTACCACACAGCAGACAACAGGATAATTTCTGTGTAAGAAAATGAATAAAACGTGCAGAGACAAAGGAAGTAAATTAAATTATTTGCTGTATAACACAAATTGGCTAAGAAACTAATGTGATGATACACCAAAATGTTCCTTAAAGAAGTGGTTAATTCTAGGGCTGGGGAAGAAAGATGCATGAAGACCCTGGAACATCTATTTAGTGGTGATGCTAAAAAGGAAGAAAGTGCTAAACAAACAAAAAGAATGGGGCCAACCTTTAAGAATTCCCAATGGCCAAAGCTGCAACAATTTGAATAAGAGTAACACACACACACAAAATAAATAAATAAATAAATAAATAAATAAATAAATAAATAGCTATAAGTGCACAGTATTACAAATAAATGAGTTAACAAGTAAATAGAAGGAAGAAAAAGAATAACTCTTTCTTACTGAAAATATCAATTAGCAAATGTAGAAGGAAATGAGGAAAAGAGGAACTCCCCACCAGGAAACAGTAAAAATTGCAGCAGTTATTACCTACCAATGAATGCTTAAATGAATGGGAAAAGGTTTAAAAAAAAAGAGTATCTGCATACACACAAAGTATTTACAAAGTGGTAAATAGTAGTTTTATAATGAAGAAACCTGGCAGATATCACTTTGAACCAGAGAATCATTAATGTTGTTAACATTAACAACAGTAGGACAGACTGACATCATCCAATACTCTCATATGCAGAGAAGGACACATTACCTCTTCATTATTCTTCCCCCAAATGCAATACAACCATCTAATTATGAGAAAATATCAGACAAATCTACACTGAGGGAAATTCTACAAAATATTTGACAAGGGCTCTTCAAAAATATTCATGTCATAAAAGACAAAAAAGATTGAGAAACCTTTACAAATTGGAGGACACTGAGAAGACATGATGAATAAATAAAATGTAGGATTCTAGACAGGATCCTGAAATATAAAAGGGCACCAGTGGGAAAACTGATGAAATCCTAATAGGGCCTATAATTTACTCAGTACTTAGCAGTACTATCTGGTCAAGAGTATTGTAGCAACATTAATTTCTTAATTTTGATAACTATACTATAATTATGTAAAATGTTAATATTAGAGGAAGTTAATGAAGTATATAGGGGAACCTTTTGTACTTCTGTAACTCATACATAAATCTAAAATTCTATCAAACTAAAGACTTTTAAAAAAAAAACTGTGGATAGGGCTGGGGATGTGGCTCAAGCGGTAGCGCGCTGGCCTGGCATGCGTGCGGCCCGGGTTCGATCCTCAGCACCACATACCAACAAAGATGTTGTGTCCGCCGAGAACTAAAAAATAAATATTAAAAAAAAAAAAATTCTCTCTCTCCTCTCTCACTCTCTCTTAAAAAAAAAAAACTGTGGATAATGAATACACTATTAGTTACAGTACTATGTTGTTTTTACATTAGTTTTTACATCAATTTACCTAAACTGTAAGTATTTTTTCCTACTGAATGCTACAGTCTCATCACTCTTTATGCTACATAAACACAGTAACATAATAAAGCTCTAACAATTTGTCAAAAATAAATTTATCCACCTAAATTTAAATTTTCTAACATCCTAAAAATGACTAGAATCATCTTCAGCTTCAATTATATGAGCTTCCACAAAGCTTCATTTTCAACAGCTGTCAACACTATTATCATTGCTTATTGCATAAAAGTACATTTAAGTAAAATACTTACCTTCCAACCACTGCCAGCCTCTCTATAATATGGAAAGTTATCACAAATCCACTGGTAAATCTCACTTAAAGTCATTTTCTTTTTGGGAGAGCTATTGATTGCAAATGTAATGAGGCTGGCATAACTGTATGGAGGTTTCCCATCTTTGTGCTGTTGGACTTCTTCCTGGTCCAGAGTTGTATTTGGGTCAAGGAGTGCATTCTTCTTAGAAATTCCTGTTCCATGTGCATTTTGTGTAGCATCAGATTTTTGGATGGCTGCTCTCATGGTGAGCTGTGGTAACCAGTCCATAGATGTTAGGCTGCTCTCCAGTTCAGATGTCATCCTGAAGGTAAATAGACTCCTTAGTCAATATCAAGGAAAGAACCCCTGCTTCTCAAAATAATCCAATATTCACAAATCTAGGAGTTCCAAAGTGAGGGAAAGCCTGAGTTAAATCTGGAGGAAAAAGATTGAGTATGTTAATGACCAAACCAAATATTAAGGGATCAACATTTCCAATCTTTTTTCTTACTTTTTTCCTCTCCAAAACATATAATACACTTGCTTTAAAGTGTTTAAAATACAAAATGATATATACAGACCAAGTGATGTTGATGCTGATCTTTCTTTAAAAAAAATAATGTCTGCTACTTTAACAGGGCAACAGAATCCTGGTATGAAAAACTTCCATCTACAGCCCAGCTTTCTACACACCAAAACACTGCATGTCCTTAAAAATTTGAAATGGTAAATCTGTACAATTTCTTTTATACAAATTTTAGGAGAGTTATACAAACAAAGGAATGCCAAAAATAGAGTGAAGAGATCAAAGAAGTAACTGAGAAATACACACAGGAATTTGAATGGAGGAAAGAGGGCAGAGTTGAGCAGGTGGGAGGCAGGAAAAGTAAAGCTGGGTAGGCAAGAACAGCAAGGAGACAAGCTAGCTGGGGGAGTGTACTAAAAAGAGGAATGCAAAGTCAAGGACACTGATGAGTAGGAGAAACGGAAGATAAGCAGTACCAGGCAGTTATTAAAAAAAAGAACAAGTCAAGGAACCAGCTTGTAAAAACTAACTGAAGTTAGTTAGGGAGTATAGAATATAAGAGACTAAAATCACATAAATGGCCAGGAAAAAAAAAAAAAAAAAAGGCATTCCAAGCTCAAGGCCAGCCTTGGACAAATGTCCAGTGATTTGGATTCTAATACATTCATTCCAAGGCTAATATATTCACCCCATTACCCCTCAAAGAAACAGTCTGTCAGGTTGACACATATTCTACAAAAGTCTTAGAGTAGCTCTTCTAAGAGCTAAAGATGAAAATACAGAAAGGAAGCTTGACACCTCACACTGAAATTGTTAACTTTCAACAGAACATACACAAGTCCTTCTATTCTATTATCAAATTCAGGAACAATGACCCTGACAATAAAAAAAAAAAAAAAAAGTGAAAAAGAAAGACTTCTAGTGACAACAAAATTTAAAAGAAAGAAAGAAAAGAAAATTAAAGTACCTGAGTCAAAAAAAAAAAAAACACATTTGGGGCTCAATGGTATAGAGACTGCCTAGCATGGATAATCCCCAGCACAGCCAAAAAAAAAAAAAAAAAAAACTGGGCTAAGAAAATCCCATATACACCTCTCATCCCAAATAAATGGCTCCTAGCAAAAGCTAACTGGGGTACTGTACATAGAATCTGAACTTCTAGGAAGCAACATAGAATAGATAAAGACCACAGTTTTGGAGACAGTAAAACTAGAATTCAAGTACTGGTTTCAACAGTGACTAGCTGTGGGATCATAAAAATGTTAATCATCTCTAAACCTCAGCTTCCTCATCAATAATAGTACCTACAGTTTAAATATTACTTTGAAAATTAAATGTGATAACACATTTACAGAGAAAATATTCAGTAAGTGTTATTAGTAATATTAGTCTAAGACTACCTTAGGAGGGTAGTAATATACTATTAAGTAAACCAGATTAAGCAATAGCAATTATAAATCAAGAAACAGTTATGAGGAGTCTACCTGCACTGCCAGTCAAGAGTCCTACTGTACTCTTGTTTTTCTGATATTTTGGTCCAGTTTTGCCCTTTCTCACTTCTTTGAAACCTGAATTTTAAATTTCCCTAAATAGTACTTCAAGTATCTTTAAAAAAAAAAAAAAAACAAAACTTATCATCTTACTGTATAACATCAACCAGAAATGCTTGTTCCCAGCATGAGGCAAGTTAAAAGGACTAAGAATAAGGAGACAGGATAACTTAGAAATCACACTATGTCAAAAGAATGTTTCTAATCTCTTCAATTATAAGATGAAAAACTAATGTCCAATGAAGCTAAAGGCTCATTTAATTTCACTTAGGTAATTAACAGGAGAATTAAAACCAAAGTCCAGATCTCCTGATGCTCAATTCAGAGTTCATTTTGTTTTTGAGGGGTACTGCAGACTGAACCCAGGGCCTCACGCATGCTAGGCAAGCGCTCTACCACTGAGCTACATCTCTAGCGCCAAAGTTTTGGGATTTTGTTTTGTTTTCGTTTTAAGTGCTGGGGATTGAACCAGGGCCTTGTAGGTGCTAGGCATGTGCCAAGTGCTCTGACACTCAGTTACATGCCCACCCCAAATCAGAGTTTTTCCTACCATATCTCTTCTGTAAAATAAGAATGATAATTAAGACAGTACCTAATTGATATAAAATATTTAGAATAATGCCAGGCAAACAGTAAGCATTTAATAAACATTAGCTCCTGTTGGTGGTGGTGATAATAGTAGTTGCTGTCATTATTCATATTTCATTCAATAAACACTGGCTATTACTATATAATGATTTCATCCTATTTGCCTCAATCAAGTCTCCACTGCATAGAGCTTTATTTTTTGAAAATTCATAAAGCAGTCAGCTTTGTGCATTTTCAAAGTTAATATAAAAGCATGTTCTAAATTGAGATATAATTAGTGCAGATACCCCCTACTGAAAATCATCTTTACCTTCTGTTCCCTTCCACCAGTACCAGTAATGAGACTTGATGGCTCTTAATAATGTAAAAACAAACACATACACAAAGAGGAAACATGATAAAATTCCTGTCCTCCAGGAACTTATAGTCCAATTAGGAAGGTCAGACACAAGAAAGAACTCAATGAAAGAGCAAGGCTAACCTCTGGATGCTGTAAAGGTTTACAAAAGGGACAGAACAATGCAGACAATAGCCTTGAAAGAGAGAAGAAAGAACTTCAGATAAGTTGTGAAGTTAAGGTCTAAATAGCCTGGAAAGAAAAAGTCCCTAGTCTTCAAAGATGTCCCATATTAAGAATTAATCACTGTTGTGCTTATATTTATCAGTTCTGCTAGAACAAATTTTAAATATACTATAAAACATGTCTCAAATTTAAATTAAAAAGTGGATCTTCTGTTTTGTTTGTGATTTACTGAATTTTACATATTGTTAGAAATGAGACCAAAAGTGCCTGCATTGTCAGTACTGAGGGTGAAGCAAGAACACAAAAGATAATCATTAGACTTAGCCAGGTCACTTTAGCAAGAAACCTATTAGTGCAATGGTGATGACAGAAGTCCACTTGTATAAGAGAACAGATGGTGGTAAATTTAAAAACAGCATAGGAAGCTCTGAGGAATCTGGTTATGGAAATCTGGTTAAGAAATGTCAGGTCCTCATTACCTCACCTCATTCCAAAAGCTTCCTACTGGCCTCCTAGACTCACAATCCCCTCCCTGTTAATCACCTCAAGTCCACACACACACTCCAAGGAAAACCTATCCTGACTTTCAATGTCTCCCTCTTTCCCAATTAAACCTAAACTGATTTTCAACTACATTAGCCATTTTGGTCTTTCTCTAAATTTCTAGAGCAATTATAACTTAATTGGGCTTTGAACATGCTGCTTCATATGCACAGTTGTATCATATTTCTAAACTTTCTAGCCTCACCCATCTCACCACCTCCTACTGAAGATGGTGACCAAACACTAGTGCTTCTGATGCTACTTGTAACTTGCCAAGTACAAATTATCTAAAAAACAACAGTGATTAGATAAGGAGTAAGAGCCATCTTTTCCCGTTGTTTTGTTTTGTTTTTTAATATCAGGGATTGAACCCAGGAGACTTCTTTTCTGAAATGCCTTTTCCATCTCACTTTATATGAATAGCTTCTACTTTTCCTTCAAGAATCAGACCAAACATCTCCCTCTCCCAATACAGAAAGTGTGGTTAATCCCCTCTTCCCAATCTCTCTCTCCTAAAATTAATGAAATCTTGGTCCTATAGTAGCATATAAATATCTCTAGCACAGAAGTTATAAAGTCCTATAATTTGAAGCCTTTCAAAGTTGCACTATAAAAAATTATAATTATCATCAATGAGACTGTCAGCTCCTGAAAGTAAGAACTTTCATGATTAAAATAATGACCATCCAATGGTGCACGTCCCACCAAAGACCATAACAGCTGTATGAGCCAAAACACTTGTTAGGGGCTAAAACATCTGTTAAAATCAAAAAAGAAAAGGTGAACAAGAGGACTTAATAGCATAAGGGAAGGATATTCACAGGATCAAAATCCTTTAAAAGCTCAAAAAAAAAAAAAAAGCATAATGCAGAACACATAATGACAGGCAACATTATACAGGACCAGAAAGTTATGTTGGAATAGCAGAGAAAATAAGAGCAGAGTCACTTGTGGGAGAAATCAAGTATGGAGAGTCTACAGTGAAAGTTCTTAAATCTATGATGATATCTGTCACTTAAAAGAACTTCCATAAGGAATTTCCTTTACATAAAATTAAAGGGTAAGAAACATCAAGATATAACAACTCAAACCTAAATCATGAAATGAGAGTAAATAAAGGGGCTCTAATCTCACTTTATTAAACACTACCACTGATAAAATCCCACACACACAAACTTTTTAGTTACTTTTATCACAATGTTCTGGTATCAACCCTGCAATCTTCCTAATTCCCAAGAGGTAGTAAAGGCTTACTCAGAAAAGTTTTCAAGTTCCAACAGTATCAAAAGGGAGGAGAATGACAGAGATATTGTAGCCCTTCACAGAGTAAGAGGAAAACACCAGAGACAATAAAAGGAATAATAATAATGAGGATAATGACGTTGTGGCCCAAATATTACTAAATCTTCCCACTCCATTCCTGGCATTCAGCATTTCATCTTAAGACTTGGCAGCATATGGAAAATTGAGCAACTAAGAACTCTGAAGAAATCCTGCAATTACAATAGCAGTGATTATTATATACTTCCGATCATATGCATCTCTGGGGGTCACTATGTGCTATCACTCTATTTACAGCATTTCAGCACCAA